AGTGAACAATAAGAAAACCTCGGACTTGATTCAACAAAGGCTCCGACAGGCAAAGATAACGCTTTCTACCATTCAAGGCTTTATAAAAGACTAAAAAAAAACACCCAGATCATTGAAGAACACCGTGACCTGCAGACCACGTGGAAAAATCTCAAAACAGGGAATTAGTTAACAATTTAATTCAATAGAGAGGGCAACATTCCACAAATCCTACTACAAAATTTCCAAGGTTTAATGGACCTAATTAAAATCCAGACCGTTCTCTGTTCCTGATTATGTATATAAAAAAATTAACCCAGACACGATCGCCCCAAGGCTAGCCAGACACAATTTTGCCTTTGCGAATAAGGTTCTTACTCTTCTCATGAAAACATGACTCATAAGAAACTAATGTCCATCATGATTCTGGAATCGTTTTCCTCAGAAATAAATTTAAATAAATATTTTTACTATAAATAATAAAAATATTTAAAAATTATTTGTGAACGATGGTTGAATAAACAGTACCTAATGGATGTATACCTAGATACAAAGATATATGTAATTAATTTATGCTACAAACGGAATGTAAAAAAAGTTTCCCTGTGATCCCGTAAATACTAATTCTCTTCAAAGAGAAGAATTAATTTTACGCAGCCCGTGATGGGAAAATAAAACTACGTAATTCACATATAGAAAACTATCATCACCTACCTTCATCAATACAGCCAAGCATGAAACTATGTACTACACGACGTAAAAAAACGATGAAAATAAACACATGTTCTTGAAAACTTTGAAAAATACAAAATATTATCTTCAACCCTAAAAAATCGTTAAATATGCAAATTAACAACTGCTCACGGACATAACTTACAACACTCAAACATTAAAAGGAGTGACGATCTCAAAGACCGACGGGAACAATAAAGGAAACTCGGATTTCATTCAACAAAGGCTCCGACAGACAAAGATAACGTAACCCTCCACCTTTCAAGGCTTTATAAAAGTCTAAAAAAAACAGACCAAACATTGAAGATGGTTTTTCTTGTCACAAAAAGCTGAAGCGATGCTGACAGAACAACTCGACGAGGATGGGCGGCATAATGATCGGTACCAGCCAAATTACAAATATACAGGGAATTAGTTAGCAATTTAATTCAATGGAGAAACATTCCACAAATCCTACTAAAAATTTCCCAGGTTTAATGGACGTAATGAAAATCCAGACCTTTCTCTGTTCCTGATTATGTGTGTAAAAAAGTAACCCAGAGATCGCCCCCGAGGATAGCGAGACACGATTTTGCCTTTGTGAATAAAGTTCTTACTCTTCTCATGAAAACATGACTGTAAGGTCATAAGAAACTGATGACCGTCATGATTCTGGAATCTTTTTCCTTACAAATAAATTTAAAAAAATATTTTTGCTTTAAATAATAAAAATATTTAAAAATTATTTGTGAACGATGGTTGAATAAACAGTACCTAATGGATGTATACCTAGATACAAAGATATATGTAATTAATTTATGCTACAAACGGAATGTAAAAAAAGTTTCCCTGTGATCCCGTAAATACTAATTCTCTTCAAAGAGAAGAATTAATTTTACGCAGCCCGTGATGGGAAAATAAAACTAGCAATTCACTTATAGAAAACCATCATCACCTACCTTCAACAATACAGCCAAGCATGAAACTATGTACTACACGACGTAAAAAAAGAATGAAAATAAACATATGTTGAAAAGTTAGAAATATACAAAATACTTCAACCCTAAAAAATCGTTAAATATACAAATTAACAACTGCTCGCATACATAATTTAAAAAAACATTAAAAGGAGTGACGATCTCAAAGTCCGACGGGAACAATAAAGAAACCTCGAATTTCATTCAACAAAGGCTCCGACAGACAAAGATATCGTAACCTTCCACCTTTCAAGGCTTTATAAAAGTCTAAAAAAAAAAAACAGACCAAACATTGAAGATAGTTTTTCTGGTCACGAAAAGCTGAAACGAGGCTACAGAACAACCCGACAAGGATTGGCAACAAAATAATCTGTAATTACCAAATTACAAAATATAACACGCTGACCTGAAGAACACATGAAAAAATCTCACAACAGGGAATTAGCTTCACAATTTATTCATTATAGGATAAAACGACCAGTCCTACTAAAAAAATTTCTAAGGTTTAATGGACCCAATTAAAATCCAACCTTTCTCTATTCCGTACTTTGTTTCTAAAAAGAACGGTAAATGATTAGATTATTAAGAGATAAAAACTAGGCATGATATATTTTTTTGTCAAATATGAAGGAAATTGAAGAGTAGAGTGATTGAAACTTTTAAAGCATTCGGCCTTGCCTGTCGCCGGTTGGATGTGATTTATCTATCAATATTTTTCAATGCATAAACCAACAACAATAAAAAATGTGCTTTCTTAAGCCAATAATATACATTCACGTCAATCACTGCCATGACCGCAAAAACAAAACCAGATTTTAAATTCTTCTAGACTCCGCAACATCGTAAGGCGTACTTAAGCGGCTCAACGGGATAACTTTTCATAATTTTTTGCAATATCAACTTTTGTTTAAATGTTAATTACGTATATTTTCTATTTGAATTAAATAAACAGAGATGTTGAACGAGGAATTAATTAAAGAATAAACTTCGAGTGGACACGTCGGGCTGGAAAGCCCTGTTTCATAATGAAACACATATCAATGTAGTACGTAGCTTTTAATTTGTACAATTTTTTTTCAAAACAGTGGTAAAGCCCAAAGTACATGAAAAATTGTTTAAAATACAATGAATTCCGTTTCATTGACAGCCACAAATAATAGAGATATTTGTAATATAACTGCCTTTATTTTTACTATTAATACAAATTTTTAATTCGAGTTTCAGGGCGCCTGTATTATCACTATTAGTGAAAACTTCCAAAAGTTTGCTGCTACTTTTACTCCTGCATTTTTTTATAATGTCAGATGATTACTTTTCAGTAGTGATGACGAACAATTTATTAACTGTGGCTCGACGAAATCATACTAGAAAAACCTACAGCACATGGATCAATTTTCATTTTTCCAGGGCTTTTGAATAGAAACAATCGTTCAGAATTTCATTATACAGACTCGATGGAGATAGCACCACTAATTTCTATTAAATAGAATATGAAATAGAATAGAAACTAACCCTACGAAAAAAGGGCAGCACTTTGGGCAAAACAAACACTACATTGCACTTGCTGAAAGTAGTAGAAAGTACCACCAGTAATTGACATGCGTGGCCACGGTAAGTAATGCTACCGCTTCTGGGTGTGTACAATGTGAATGTCGTCAATACTCATTTATTTCTCACAAATGCTGCAGGCCTGAAAACCAAATTAAATTCAGTTTTTCAATATGGCCCATTTTCCTCACGGTTGTGGAATAATAGATGGCTCACTGATTCCGCCTTAAAAATGAGCCCTTTTGCTCATTTATAGGTTAACAGAAATAAGCAATAACAGCAACCTACTCGATTCACTAACTAAAGCAAGCTGTGTTGCTTGAAAAACAAATGTTCTTGATTGCAGGTATCCCGGTTTGATAGCCATACATGTACTGACTTGTCCTTTTATAGTTTTTTTTTTCTTTTATAATATTATTTGTTGTATTCACTAGTTTCGTGGTCCGCTTGACCAATTAATATCTTACAATTAATTAAGGTTTTCGGTTTAGATAAAAAAGTCAATGGCACGAGCGGGATTCGAACCCACGATTTTTCAAATGTCGTGTAATCAATTTGATTCTCGTCGACAAATGAAAAATGGCAAAAAGGAGGGAAAATTCGAAAGGTGTCGTTGAGATGGGAAGTTAGTGTCCGAGGGGATCGAGGTCACGATAGCTCAAGTGGTAGAGCAGCGCCGTATCAAGCCGAAGATCGTGGGTTCGAATCCCGCTCGTGCCATTGACTTTTTTATCTCAACTGAAAACCTTAATTAATTGTAAGATTATTTGTTGTGTTAGTGAGGCCTTCTCCGTTATGAAATAGAAAGGAATGGTGCTAGCACTTCGTAGTTCGTGTACTTGTATATCTTAACTAATACAATTAGTAACATTATAAAGTAGGCCCCTGACTTTACTATCGCGATTAGCTCTTACGCGTCAAGAGCCGATTGGTAGGTGGCTCCGGAGAATCAAAACCGAAGAAGAAGGATCAACTTAACCCGACTTAGAGTTGGACATACACAGTTGACACACGGACACATACTTTTGAGCAAAGCCAGCATATATGTCCGCATGCAAAGAAAGATAACCAACATAAGGTAGTGGTCAGTCCTTGGCTCCATACATAGAGCGAGTAGGAATGCCGTCCAATAGAAGAATTGTGCTCTAGCAAGGCAGCAATATTTGGGTCATCTGTTCCGATTTTTGGAGAACACAGGGATGTTTTTAGTACTCCTAGTTTTGTGTACCTAATGTGTGTTGAGAGTGAATGTATTTATTGGCGTGAACGTGTTGTGTAAGAGGGCTGATGGGGAATACTGAGTACCCCTTCCACCCTCAATTAGCATAGTTGTACAATAGGTGTAAAGGGTGATGGAGGCATATCGAGTAATCCATCCCCTAACTGAGTGAATGTAAATAAGAAAGAATTTATCTAAGAATGAGTGAGAGTGTGATTATTGGTTTGGATCTAGGAGCTGCATGGGTTGGGTGTTGAATTGACCTACCAGTTGACAGCTCTCGGTGGCTGGACGTATAAGACTTAGGTCTTACCCTGGCCTACCCACACTTGAGGTGGATATTCTCGAGGCCTGGCGGTAGTTTATTGTACATTTCGAAAGTTTGAACTGCCGGTGGCAACTCTGTACATGCGTGTATATATGTACTTACATGTATAGACTTGGGCGTTTATAAATCCATATAAATTCAAATACAAATAAGCTTCGAGTTATCCAAGAAACAGTTTTACGTTCGAGTACAATATTTTAAAAAAATAGTACACTACAAGTAGTATTTTAATACTTACAATATCCTTGTACCTAGTTGTCAAGAACGGTTTGAACATGGAGTAGACCTTCTCGAATACCCACGACTCGTTTACTATGTGGATGGCGGATATTTTCATCGGAAAGCTAGTCTGAAGAAGAAAAAATAAGCCGTGAGTCAAATCTGTGATCGGCCGGTGAGGACACTTACCGCCATGATTTCTTGAACTTTGCTGGCGACGGACGGAGTCATGTACCATGCCTGTGTCATCGACAGGTCTGCCATGTCGAAGATGGCCACACCGCCGAGGATCTGCGCCCTCGGCTCTAGGATGCCGGCTTCCAAAGTCGCTATCGACGCTTTGAACAAATCTTCCATAGGCACTTCGGATGGAATCCATTTTCCTGTGAAACGTAACACACGAATTTTGTAGAACGATATCGTTTCGATTCGTGGGCTCCCTTGGGAAAGAGTGGTGCAATTGTCGGGAACGCCAGTTGCGAATGCAAAATATGAAACAGTTTGAATCCTGTTCTCGGCTAGTTTTATGAACCGTCGTGCTTATGAATTGCGGAAAATGAGGCATGTCCTGGTCAACATTGGACGCAACAACGTTCTTTTTATCATGAACTTTTTCTTTTTCATCAACTTTTATCCTGGCAAATATATCGGGTTGGATAAAATAAAATAGAATAACTATAGTAACAAACAAGAGATTTATAAATCTCTCAAAAAGGAACTCCTCAGCAAGCAGATTTTGAAGAAAATTATAGGACTTTTGCATTTTAACCATCACCTAAAAAAGATAGGTAGAGCAGAGACAGAAACAAGCTGACTGTCAGGAGAAACCAGAGACATCGGCACATATCCTTTGTGAATGAGAACCATTAGCACTGGTTTCATTTTTTCATTCATTCACTGTACAGCCACACGGCAAAAGAGGTCCGCAAAAAGGCACTAAGAAAACTTTTTCCTATAAGAAAAAGTGCATTTTCCAAGACATGGCTATAATTTATAGGGGTTCCACAATAGATCTACTTAGATCGTATTGGAGGAAAGGGTTGTCATAATTCTAAATCAATCTCCTACTCATTAAACTTATTAATTAGTTAATTAAAATGAATTCTATTTTTCTATCATTTACGATTACACTGTCTAATTAATCCAATAACACACCCACTATTTTAGTTCTTCATTTCTTTGGAGATCTCAGGAAAATAAGACAGTGAGCTCGTATCCAACAATCTCCGTCGTGATTCTGGCATCTTTTTCTTTAAATTATTCGGAGATCGTGAGATGATGTAGTCTGATGTGGAGCCTGTTTATTAAACTTATCTTCAGAGCCTGGAATTTCCAAACATTTAAATGTTATTGGTATTTGTTGAATTTAAACAATGTTTGTAAATCCCTGGCTCTGAAGGTGATATCAATAAAGATCGAAACGTTGGCACGATAAAGAAAATGTTTTTCTAAAACCTACGTGACACCAGACCGCATCTCACCACCTCCAAATAATAATAGACTAACAGTCACTAATCACCGCACATTTTTCTTTAAAGTTTACCCTTAAAAAATATCGTAGATATAATAAATAATAAAAATATTTAAAAATTGTTTTATGAACGATCGTTCAATAATGGTTTATACCTAGGTACAAAGATTTGTCTATTTAATTTATGGTAAAAACGGAATGTAGACAATTTCCCCCTTTGGATCCTGAAATATACTCTTCTCAAAGAGAATAATTTTTCGCAGACCATGATGGGCTAGTAAGACTGGTTCGATCCAATTATCAATAAAGATCTAAACTGATTTCGATCCGTTCGCTTCTCTCAACTTTACGCAATCCGAAGAACAAGTTGACGTGTTTGGATCGTTCACTCGTTTTCATGACTATTTAGACGAACTCGAATTCGAATCTTTTTGTAATTATCGGCTCCAGGACGCGAGTCCTAGGCACTTGGGAACCAAACTCCAAACACCAAGGTGCTGATATCAGCATACTATTTAAAATTTTGTACTTACATACTTATTCTCAATGCATACAGATTTATTTTTAACGATGCACTTGCAACACTGAGAGGCTCTTAAATTGACTATTTGCAGGACCAGTTTAATAAACTTTCTTCCTTTTTTTTGTGTGGTGATTAGTGACAGTTAATCGATATTTATTTAGAAATCGTGAGATACGGTCTGATGTGATGTAGGTTGCAGAAAAACATTTTCTTTATCATGCCAACGTTTCGATCTTTATTGAGATCATCTTCAGGGTCTGGGATTTACAAGCATTGTTTACATATAACAAATCCCAGGCCCTGAAGATGATCTCAATAAAGATCGAAACGTTGGCACGATAAAGAAAATGTTTTTCTGAAACCTACATCTCACCAGACCGCACCTCACGATTTCTAAATAAATTTCTTCCTTTTCGATTTAAAAAAGAAAATAAAAAAACCGAAACATTGCATAGTTTAAACTCGTTCACGAGATATGATTTCTGACTCTTTTGACCTAGAAGTCTGACAAGCGGTCATTTTGTACGGCCTTCAAAATAGATAACCCGTCCTCGAAAATGTTTACTGAATCGTGATTTTCCAAGCGAAATGCCAATTTCGGACGATCTTTCTCTGCTTCCTGGTATGTAGAAACAACGAAATGATATGAAATTGTCTTTATACTATAAAATTACCTCTTCAAGTCAGAAAAAGGAGTCGAGCTACTGTCGATTCAGACACGGCGCACGATCCTCAACAAAGACAAACGGACAAATTAATTCTGTTATTATTATTATTATTTTTGTTGAGTGCTTCGTGTTAGTTAATTTTTAATCTAACATGTATTATAGCCTTTTTACGACTTACGCGGTATATTTGGTTTGAAACAATCTTTTTCCCTTTATAAATGTTTTATTCAAATTTTGATTGGTGCTAGAAAATCGAAAATAAAATGCACGCTTTTTAAAAAAATTACTCACGCCCTCTTGCATGTCAATACTGATAAAAAAAACACAATGGTGAAAGAAAAACGCGCAATATTTATATGATACATGACAAAATGCGTGCTTAGAATAATAAAAATCTTCCAAGGAGGATTTTAAAATAAAAGATCCTAAGAAGTATCTGGAATGCACTTTGTTTATGAATTGGTTGATTTTATTACTAAAATTGTAGTGTTTTTTTATATACTTTGTAATATCATATTAATATTATGACATGCCTATACATGAGGATACATGCTTTATAAGGTAGGATAAATACAATTGGTATGGCATCTCCTATACCATAAAGTTCTCTTGGATCACGATCTTTTTATACTGGAATATTAATGAGCAAACCAAATCAATTTGCTCAGGATTCGGTCAACTCACAACAATTTGTAACTATTTTATGACAGCATGCGTTATAAGTCATAAAAGGATAATCCGAAATGTCGCATTTTTCATTTCCATGTTTAACCTTTTGTCACTCGTAAACTTTTTTTATGGGTATTTCCATATTCGGAGGACATGTGTTAAATAAAGCCTTGAGGTTTGGCACGCACCGAGTCTGTAGATAAGGATTCTCCTTCCGTTCTGATCCCTGTAAGGCAGCACGCTTAAAATGTTGGCGTCGCCGATTCTGTACAAATTCATCGGGTTTACGCCGTCATAATACTCGTAGTTCTCTTCCCTGAAGTTGCAGTAGTTATTCAACTGGAAACAAAAAGGAAATTTGATGAATTAAAAAATAAATTTGTTTATCGAATGATAAAACAACTAAAACCGAAACTCCATTCATGTAAGGAGGTTGGCGATTTTGTTGTCTGATAAATACAGGTCCAACTTTTAATTAATTAAATTTACATTCACCGAAATCCTTTGCTAGATTAAATACACACTGTGATCCAAAAGGGGTACACAAAAAAGGGTACTTTTACTTATTGTACTTTTTAAAACTTTTAGAACAAGTTTATTGTAATCTGCACTATTCATTATTGTAAAGCGAGAGGAAAGGGGTAAAACGAAAACTGTCTGTAAAAAGAAAGATTTAAATACTGGAGCGGCTTTTCAACTGTCTCCCACCTCTGTCTCTGAATAAAACAAAAAAAGTTAATTACGTCGAGAATAAAATGTGTAAGCCGACGGACGGAAAAACTGTCAGCATAAATTTGTCCACCGAAGGGGTTTTTAATATTTACGATTGTCGTAATTTTTTTTTGCGCATGACACAAATTCCTCCACTTCAATTGAGACCGCTCCATGCAATCTATACCGGTCAGTTGATTACATTTTTGTCACTTATGACAAAATGGGGTTTCTAAGGCCATTGTATAAAAACTGAAAAAGCATTTTATCGTATCCGGCACAAAGATTTTCTGCTCAAATTAAAAGAATTCTTACTGGATACATGCCAGCGGATTTTTGCAGCGAGCAGCTATTTCTGTAAATTCGCACTGTACGGGAGGGTACGTGTAAAGATGTTCATCGCGACCTTTTCTTGCTTATTTTACTTTTAGCCAGGTAGCTCTCGTTATCAATCCAACAACTTGATAATTTGTATTAGTTTGTGTATCGTAGACCTCTACAGGGTCCTTATTACCTCTGTAGGTACTAGCTAAGTACCTATAGCACATCTATTTTTGAAATATAAAAAGTTCAATAAAATCATCTTAGTAACACATGCTAAACGTGGTGTAAATCATTGAACTGATACCACTACCTTGCTTCTGAACTCAATAAACGCTCAAATATCATTAACTAGCATACTAATAGTATGGTTATGATGGAGTGAGTATAACAAGGCAAAAGAATAGTTCTTTCCAACTATTACTGAAATATCTGCACTATTTGAGAAAATACTAGTTGACCTTAGTCATCAGTAAATTCTCTATTTTTGCTTGGTTGATTCTTATTAAGTATCTTCCAATGAATCGGTTGATTCTGCAACCAATAAAAGTAGAAGAATAAACCAAAACACATACTTAGACTATACTGTTCACTAGGCGACGGTGCTGTAAAGTTGGATCGCCTTTCGCGATAGGTTCTGCCAATATCAACTACCTGGGGCTGAAACGTGATAAGAAATTGACCTTTAAGCCTCGCATCAAGATAGAGTTATAGAAATTATATTGGCACTATTCTTTAAAAAGACTCCTGCTTCACCTTCCTGGAGCTCGATCTGCTTGCACAGCATCGCCTCGTAGAAGATTATGCACATCAAGTTATTGTTCCTGGTTACAGTCTAGGATTTCTCAAACCCAGATATCAGCCAATATGGAATACGTGAAGGATCGGATACTAAAGACAATCGATTTTTCCTTTGGGTCAACATAGTGATGATGTAGCTTGTAGAGTCATAGGGAACTATGACGTAACACTACGGAGTAAGTAATAGATTATTAGGAACTGCCTATGGCAGACCGCAACATTGGTCCATTGGGCATCATTATTTAGGGCTATTCAGTTTGAGGTTTCTTAACAGATCCCAAAGATTTGTTCAAGACTCACGAGTGTTTCAAGCTTTGGGCTTCACATCAACTGAGCATGTTCCCCCGTTTCTTCTTCTTCCTGGTTGTCCCTGTATTTGTTTGCACCAATCCGAGTGCTTGCAATGTCTCTAAGTTTCCAGTGTCCAGTCAGCAGTTCCTCTACCATTCTCGTCCTAGCTAAGTAGGTCTAGCGTTAAGTTTCTGCGATGAGCCTTTAATGAATTTTTGACGTGCCTATGCCTTGAAGTACATTGCGGTGGCGAAGAGAAGACTAATATTAATCAATTATCCCATAAATCTGCTTTTGTCCGGTATGCCACAAAATAGTTCTGGGAAACTACAGCATAGAAGGGTAAACCATATTTCTCTAAGCGAAAAGAGTTTATATTACTTTTCCCTTGATATAAATTGTCAAATAAAGAGATAATTAATCAAGTAGTTAAGAGATTACACCATACGCTGAATGTCCCATGTTATTTAAAACATTGAATACAAACAGTGTAAATTAATGGAAATTAACTTATTTACTTTTTGTAAATGATTTACTGTTTCTATAAACGTATATATGTACTATTATACATCTACATATCTATCCCCATGTTATCTATATAAAAAACTATTCGGCTGTGACCTAAAATTCCAGATTTGTCCATTTTCAAAGTTGGATTGAATACCAGCTTACAAATCATAAATAAAAAGAGACACATTAAAATAGGAGGATCTATAGACAAATAATTGTAACCCGGTGTTATGTTAGGAATTCATGCACAATGTGGTATGAAATGTGCATTCCTGACATGGTTCAGGACAATCAATCAATCAGCCCCCCTTCCAATACACTTGTGAGTACAATAATTGAAAACCCTTAATCACATCGTCAGAGATGCTCTTAATTCGCGGAAACCTGAGCACTTTGTGAACCATCATAGAATTAAGTATATAATATTTTTGTATTAACTTTTACGTATTATTTTCTATAAAAATAACATATATTTAAATATACGTTCCGGAAACAGACAGTTTGCACTGTCAACACTTTTTGGACGTTCAAAGATTGCACGTCTGTTGTAAATTCAAAATGTTCAACCGTTTTATTTGGTCACAGTGGGTGAATAAGCCAAATTTCCCACTCAACTGCGGCTAGCTAATTTCTACGGAAGCCAATCCGCTGCAATACCCAGAATGAAACATTTTAGAGAATGAATCAAACGGACATCCCGTTCGTGAGTCATTTCTAATACGGTCATGTAAACAGTGTCTTGAGAAAGAACTAGTTTTCAGTCATTAATAATACCTCGAACGGCTTCTCCAAGAAATAAGGCGAACATATTCTTGCAAGAAAGGGTCCCCCACCTTAATTTCGTATTTTGTCCTTGACCACAGTAAAGAACCGATCACAGATTCAAACAAACTAGCGAAGTAAAAATAATGAAATAGTTATTTACATTTTTAACTGACTTCTTTTCGTTAAATGTCGAAAGAAAAACCTCATGTATATATTCCTCACTGTATAACCCTAGCGGGAAAATCCCAAAACAGAAGAGTCAAGACATACAACAAAAGAAATACGCAATGAATAACATTATAATGTGTAACAACAGCAATAAGTTATTCAATGAGTTTCAAAACAATTTGATTCAAAACATAAAGAGGTTTACGTACAAATTTAAATATTGAACCATACGACACCATGATGTAATGATCTGAGAGAGAGGAAAGGAGAGAGTGGAAGAAAGAGAATAGTTAGATAGATAGGCAGTGAAAGATAGAAAGAAAGACGGAGGGTGAAAAGAAAGAGAGAGAGAGAGAGGGAGAGAAGGGGAAAGAAAAAGAGACAGTGAGGGAAAGAGAGGAAAAAGAAAGAGAAAGAGTGGGAGGGTGAGAAAGAAAGAGAGAGGGAGAGGATGAGATACAAAGAAAGAGCGTGAGATAAAGATAAAAAGAAAGAGCGAGGGTGAAAAAGAAACAGAGAGAGGGAGAGAGGAAAGAAGAGGGAGAAAAAGAGAGAGAATAGATAGATAGATAAATAGATAGAGAGGGGGAATGAGAGAGATGAATAGACAGAAAAAGGAAAAAAGGAGAAAGTGAGAGAAGGGGGAGAGAAAAGAGAGAGAGAGTGAGAGATACAGAGAAGAAAGAGAGAGAAAGTGAGAGAGAGGGAAAGATAGAAGATGGAGAGAGAAAGAGAGAAATAAAAACGAGAATGGGAGAGACATGGAAAAGAAAGAAGGAGAGAGAGAGAGAGAGAGAGAGAGAGAGTGAGAGAAATAGAGAGGGAGAGGAGGAGATAGAAAGAAAGAGAGTGAGATAGACAGAATAAAAGAGAGAGGGTGAAAAAGAAAAAGAGAAAGGGAGAGAGGAAAGAAGAGGGAGAAAAAGCGAGAGAAAAGGTAGATAGATAAATAGATAGATAAAGAAAGAGAGAGAGTGAGAGAGGTGGAAAGATAGAGTAACCGAGAAAGGAAGAGAAGGGAGTGTGAGAGAAGGGGGAGAGAAAAAGAGAGAGAGAGAGTGAGAGTGAGAGAGAGAGAGGGGGGAAGAGTCCGAGAAAGAGAAAGGAAAAAGAAGAAGGAAGAGAGAACGAGAGAGAGATGAAAAAAGAAAGAGAGGGAGGGTGAGAAAAAAAGAGAGATGATGATGATGACTATGAGCGCCTTATTTATTAACCACACAAGATTTGGTCACAAGGACCATTCTAACATGTAAACGGAAGAGAGGGTGAGGAGGAGATAGGAAGAGATAGTGAGAGAGAGAAAATGAAGAGAGAGGGTGAAAAAGAGAGAGGAAGGAAGAGGGAGAAAAGAGAGAGAGAGAATATGTATAGATGGTAAAAATAGTTAGAGAGAGAGAAAGAGTGAGAGAAATGGATAGAGTGACAGAGAAAGGAAAAAAGGCAGTGAGTGAAAGAGGGTGAAAGAGAGGAAGAGAGCAATTATTTCAGAATTGTATACACTATTTCTCGTGAATCATTAAATGTCTTGCAATTTAATACTAAAAGGAGAGAAAAATCCTCCTACACTTGAAAATGTTCAATTCTACCTGATATTCCATCGGAAAAGGGAAGATTACCCCCATCAACGGAATTCATTTTGAAAACAGGATCGAGATCGTTTCTAGACCCTATTTACTATGTGCTAGCGAAAAGAACCCGGAGCCCAAAACAATACTGCCATATTCTAAACGGGTGCTGACTGGAAAATGGCTGGGGTCTTGATGGTAAACATG